TATATATATACATACATGTATGTATGGATGGACGTATTTATGTAAGCCCAAACCCTAGCCCTTCCCGCCCGCTTCCCGACCCCTCTGCGAGTTGTACAGGGGTGCTAAACAAAAACATTATAAAGTAGACGGCAAGAAACCCATACTATTATCATTACTGATACTACTACCGCTGGTATTACTTGTATAACTTATTATTACGATTAACGGTGGCTGCTATGCGGGAGCCCAAGTTTTGCTATGACTATCCATCATAATGTAGCAGGCAAAGAACCCTAAAAATGGCTCAAGACGGGAGATTCAGGCCGGGATGCAGTTTGAACGGTGTATTTGGTAGATGACAGCTTTTGGGCATTTTACGCCACTCTATTGTGGGCCGGCGTCTCGACTGAGATAGAACAATCCGAGGTTTCAGTGTTCTAAATTGATTTATGGAAGGTCCCCAAGGTCAGACAGGGCTCCGCGATATGATGGAATGCTGTCCCCCCTTTGCATTGGGTATTGGGTATTAGGCGCTCTGGCTATGGGCACCCTAAACCCTAAACCCTGATGGTTTTCACACCGATGCTCCGAGAGGCCTCAGAAGGCTCCAGCGAGGAGCCGGTCGCGGTCGCGATGAGCAGGCAGAGTAGCACAAACTGAGTTTAGGGTTTAGGGTTTAGGCACAAACTGACGGGTTTCGAACTTTGGGGTGCCCTTTCAAACGGGTGCTGGCATGCGGGTCCCTACTGTGTTATTCGGAACACACACATGCGTACATAGCATATATATCTATATATGTATAGATGAGTATATTTATATACATATGTATGTAAAGAGGTATATATGCGTACATACTTTTTTCGTAAGATAAACGTACATATGCACACGCACGCATACACAAACCGCTCAGCCGCCTAATCCACTCTGCCCAGGTGGCTGGGGCTGCCGAACATATTAGAGTAAATTATGGCACACTGCAGAATATAGAAGAACAACATATTAGAGTAAATTATGTGCCCATTGCAGAATATAGAAGAAAGACCATGAAAGTATATGATAGTCGCTTGACTAGGTACTCGTACCACAGAGCAGCATCGGCACTAGGAGCTTCTTTAGCCTGGGCCTTGCAAAGCCTTCCGAATCTGACTCCGCTTGTCCTTCCGTTGCTGTCTCACCTTCTTGTTTCTTGCGCTCGGGTCGCGAAGTTACGGGAATGGCTGATGCTTTCATTCTCTGCCGGTATAGTATTTTCTCTATTTTCAGCATCTCTGCTTGGCTTGTGCAGGCACGCCGAGAAGCCATGTGTGCAAAGAAGCGGCGGTGCTAAAAGCTTATGGAGCAAAACGACCAGAGTTTCTGCTTTGCCCGTAGGTGCGTCTGCAATCGACTTGACAGCGCATGACCACTAGACCTAGCACTGGTCTCTTCTCGATCTTCTCAGGGCCTGCACGCGACGTGTGACCGATGCCATCTCTGCACTTCAGCCACCAGCTTGACCATAGTCCTGTACACCCTGCGTCGGGCACAAGCCTGGCCTCGCGGGCCCCGGTGCTTTTGTGCCAGAAACACCCTTGCTTGAAGCCATGCTCGTCACACAGAGGTCTTGCAGTTCTTGCGTTCTGGGTCCCCTGGGACCTAGAGCTTCCCACCATCCGAGCACCCGGCAACCTCCTCCTCCTCCGCGGAGGAGCCTCGGCCTTGTGCAGGGTTCCGTCCTCGGTGTCTCGGGCCTTTGCTTTCGAAGAAGGGGCCCGGGCATGGGCAAGCGATCAGCTGGCGCTGCGAGCCTTGACGCTGTGGAGTGCCAGGTTCAGGAGGAGGACACCTTGCCTCATTATTTTCCAAGGACCATTGACACTTCAGAAGCCGATGATTCTATCAGTGATGATGTAGTCTCTGGAGATTCTACTGCCGATATTTGCGAGCTCATCGGCATGGATATGGGCGAAAGCTTAGACCGTGAGCTGGGGAAGCCTTTCAATGAGGAGGAGCTCAAAGAAGCCTATGCAAACAGTGGCTATTTTGATGCCAAGCCGTCTCAGAAGCCCTCCGCCATGTGGCTTATAGGACCCAGTGCTTGTGGGAAGTCCACTCTTGCGCCGCAAGCTGCCAAATGGGTGGGCATGGATCAGGAGGGCTACGTGACGGTAGACGGAGAGGCGTTCCGTGATGCCCACGGGGGGTACAAGAAAGCGATACTGAAAGGGCGTCAACACGGGTGTGTGTGGTGGCCTGGCCTCGCTTGCGGCTCATGCTTTGCGCTTTTCTTCGTCCTTGGGGTCTTTTTTTGGGTTTGGTCGCTCTAGGACTTCCCTAGGACTCCTAGGCACTCTGCTACTCGTAGCTGCGAAGGTGGGGTGCCTACCTGGGCATCCGGGAGAACATCAACGAGGAGAAGCAGGAGCTCTTAGAGGCGGCCATGAAGGACAGGAAGAACTTGCTGATCCCGAGCACATGCCTCCGGCGCTCCCAGTGCGTTGACGTGACCGAGAGCCTAAGACAGGCTGGGTACGACATCCACATCATCGGAGTTTTTGGGGACAAGGACACCATCGTCGAGCGTGGCCGCAAAAGGGCCGCCGATCAAGGCAAACGCTACGATCCAAGAGAGTTTGAGCTGGCACTGATGATGTTTGCCCCCATGCTTCGGCTGTGCACTGGGATGTGGCGGATGGTATGCACGACCGGGCAGAAGGACTGGAATGATTTGCAGGTTTCTTGCGGTGGTGAGGGTCCTCTTCTGGAGGATGGCATTGAACAAGTTTGCACCGATGTTTTCGAAATATACCGGGAGGATGCATCGCAAGGTGCATGATCATGATTTCTTGACAGCATACGGTTCGATACCAGGCTTGGTGCTCGTGACTTGTGTGCAGCTCTCCCGTCGCTTGAAGTTGACCGGCTCCACGAACAAACCCTGTTTCACCGAGCAGTTAAATGCGAGAGCAGCAGGCAGAGCACAAGCCAGGGAGCAAATGCTCAGTCTTGCAAAGAAAGGATTCCTTTTGGCGGTTCTTAGATCATGGACTATTCACGGACGGACCCGTATTTTCTGCAATGCCTATATTATCTGAACTACACGGCAGTGCTTCTGATTCTTTCCGATGAATTCCCCGCATGGCCTCTGGGCTGCTTTTTTCAAGAATATCGGCTTGCCTAGGTGCACAGAAGTTGCCACACCGAGAGACGAGAGATCGGACAGCTTTCAAACGGAGCTGCAAAAGTGCGACCTCCTGTCTATGCAGCCCGTGTAGCACAGTGGTCGCTACTCCGCGAGCTTTGTTTGCAACTTCACCCGGACCTGGCTCCTAAGTTGCAGGGTCACCGCATGTACACTCCGCACTCGACTTTGCAACTTCCTTGTCACGGCTGCCCCTCTCTGATCCCCAAAACTGCATGAGCCCTAGCCCAAAAGCCCAACCCCGAACACGAGTGCTAGTCGTCCTATGCCACTATGTAGCACGGGCTCCTGTGCAGAGGCTCACAGCAAGGTCATATGGGAAGCAGAGGGGAAAAGGCCGAACGTGTCAGCTCGCCAATCACAGCAGGACTTTGATCCGAACTCGACTCCCAAACGTAGCCCACAGACCTACGACAAGAATCATAGAGGGAGATTACGGAAGCCTAGGAGTTCACCAGCCCTGATGGAGCAGCTCCCTGACGCCGATGAGCTCTTTGGTACAGAAGAAGAGGACTCCGACGATGACGTCTTGGTGGAGGAGGACGGACGCCATAGCGAGGCTGCCTCAGTACTGGATGCCCTAGGTGTTCAAGTCCGCGACGCCAGGGACGTTGAGAGTCGTGTGGTCGACAGCTGTGATGCCAAGCTTCAGTTGCCATCGAAGATGGCCGAACTGACAAAAGTCGACCGGCAAATCGAGGGGCTCTTGAAAAGAACGAACGAACAGGAAGACCCCAATATCCCTGCGCTGAAGAAGGCGCTGGAGAACAGAGAGGTGCTGCACAGTGAGCTTCTGGAGTTGGAGGATCGCGTGGCCAGCGCCACGGTTTCCGAACCCACTCAGAAGAGCCACAAACCCTGGCAGAGGCTCAAATCCTCCGGGTCCAGTCTCGACCTGGAGGAGCAGTCCAAGCTGGAGCAGGCCCGCTTCGGAGCTGCAAGGTATCCTTGAGCCGTTTAGCACCTTTTAGCATGCTTAAGCATCCTTTAGCCCCTCCGAGGCCGTTGCGGCGGCCTATGCGGCCGTGGAGAGCGTGGGCCGGTCGTCTTCAGGACTTGGAAGGGCTCCGTCCGGCGAGGTGACGCAGCGGGCGGAAAGCAAGCGGAAGTCGGAGAGCCAGAGCCAGCCGAGCCAGCCGGGTCAGCTTAAAAGGGCCTCGTTGCCCAGGAAAGGTCAGATCAAGCTTCCTTTGGCTGAGCAGGCGCTGCAGAGAAAGGTTGTGGACAAGTCCTTCTGGGATGCAGACCCTGTTAAACAGGAGAAGCGTGTGGAAGTGGAGCCAGCGTCGTCATCTCTTCCACTGAGTGCTATCGATGTTAACCGACTGAAGCCGCGAGCGGCGCAAGTACACAGTGTCTGGAAAGAGAACAACCCTGCAGAGTGGCGAGCTATGCAGCTGCAAGGCGAACTAGTGTCTCCTCAGCAGAACCTCCTGCGCAAGCGTCCTGGTGCAAAGCGACACCAGGAAGCAGCACCCGCTGAGGCAAAGAAGGCTCGCCGGGATGACGTGAACGAAAGTGTGTACCAACGCAGGCAGGAGCTCTGGAATCCCGGCAAATCTGCGGCAGCGTCTCTGGTGCCAAAGCAGCAGCTGGACGAGGAGGGGGAGCCCGTTTGCAAGCCCGATCCCGATCGCAAGAAGCCCAAGGTAAGGGCTATGCAGGAAGAAATCCAGGTTTGCGAAGGGCTTCGCTGCCCAAAGTGGCTTTGGCAAGCGCTCTATCCATATCAACACCGTTGTGTGCATTGGCTCTGGGGTCTCCATCGCGACAAAATGGGTGGGATTTTGGCTGATGAGATGGGGCTGGGGAAGACTGTTCAGATCATCGCATATTTGGCGGTGTTGCACCACTCCGGCGTGCTACAGAACATGAGGGTACAAAACACATCCCTGGGAGCCGCCAGTCCACCAAGGACCGGTGGGGTCCTAATTGTATGTCCCGCGACGCTCATTAGCCAGTGGCGGAATGAGATTCATCTCTGGTATCCGCCGCTCCGTGTTTGCGTTATGCATCAACTGAATGAGGAAGACCGCAAGGAGTCTATCCAGCAAGCTTCCTCGCATCAAGGAGTTCTGATCACATCCTATGAGACGATGCGAATCGCTATTGATGCGTTGCTCGAAGCGACATGGGTATTGGTCATCCTTGATGAGGGCCAGAAAATCAGAAACCCGCACGCGAGCATCACCATTGCATGCAAAAGGTTTAGTACAGCCCACCGGATCTTGCTTTCGGGCTCTCCGATCCAGAACAATCTGCAGGAGTTGTGGTCGCTCTTCGATTTCGTCTGCCCTGGCCGCTTGGGAACCCTGCCCGTGTTTACTGAAGAGTTCGCACAGCCGATAGAAAGCGGTAATCTGATGGGGGCCACAGAGGTGAAGATCGCAGCGGCCTATCAGTGTGCCTTGGCCCTGCGGGAGCTCACGGAGCCCTGCATCCTTCGACGAACCAAGGCCGAGTGCATGGACGTACTGAACCTGCCCACGAAGCAGGAGCAAGTGCTGTTTTGCCACCTCACAGCAGAACAGTATCACCTCTACGTCCAGTTCCTCGAGACCGAGCAGGCCCCCGAAAGACATTTGGTGCACCCAAGCCTCCAACATTGTAGCAGGTGGGTCGCAATACGTGTAGCATTCGGGCTGCTTGGTTCTTTGTGTCTCCAGGTCGGTAGACAACCTCGGGTCTGCATCCTTGTCACTGCCTTTGGCTTCCAAAACTCGATTCTACCAGGAGCTGTGAGCTTGGAGTTACTACTACTACGACCACGACCACGACTACGACGACGACGACGAC